AGTGCCGCGCAACGATGAGCAAATATCGACGGCGATTAAGGACTGGAAAGAAACGGAACACGCGTTCCATCAATACGCAAATTGTGTTTACCTATCTTCGATCTATTTGCCGATGCAGATGAGGGTGATTAAGAAGGCGGCCGTGACGTCGTCTGAATTGAGGTTCATTAAGGTGGCAGTAGTGGTGGTGGTGGTGGTGGTGACGGCAGTGGAGGGATTGATTCGGCTAGCAGCGGCTGTCGGACGAACGACGACGACGACGACGAAGACGAGCAGCAGTAGCCATCGAGTTGCCACGTCTTACCCTCGCCGTCGCTTCCCTCAATCAGGGCACTCGCACGCACACGTTCATTACCTATGCCCATTGGTTGGTCATTTGGTCAACTGGTCGGTCGATCCACTCGACACGACGACCGCCGACGAGTAATCGAATTTGTTCGAAGCGGAAGCAAGAGCTGGCAACATCGAGTCTGGTCGGAAGCACAACCACAAGGACCAAAACGGTGAAGTCATCAGCCCGGCCACAGAGGAAGGGACACGAGGAGAGGAGCGACCGTCGAACCTCAAACAAACGAGGCTAATCAGTGGAGTGGCCTTGGGGCAAGGGCCGTGACCACCGGTCTCCCGTCGTCCTCGTCGCTCATTAGCAGCGTCGTTCGAGCAACGTAGCCATAGCCCAATCAGCAAAGCTGTCTGCTTCTTAACACCGACATCGTCGCAGGAATTACACAAATTAACCAGACATTCGTAAAAACACCAACCCCGGCGACCATCGGCAAATCGTGCTGCCGCTGGAGGTATGGCGGCAATAAACAGACCAGCAATCGTCATGGAAAACCCACCAGTTGATCTGTGGGGTGGTGGGGGGGGAGGGAGGATAAGCCCAGATCAAGGAAGGAAGAGAACAGAGATTCACCTGGCAAAAACCAACGAACGATCAAGAATCGCTCTGAACCGTCGGTTGACATGACCGCGTCATCTGCTTGTGAGGTACGCTGAAAAATCGAGGGCAAAAAATGTAAAATAGTGTATCGATGGGAAGGAAATACGAAACGATTCGAGAATGCTCGTCTCGCTGAGTGATACCAACATCAATCACGCGCAGGTACGGAGACTCACCTGGCACGGAGTCGCAAAGAACTTGTTCAACATCGCGCATGGCTAACAGGTGGCGGGGAACGCGTTTTGACAGAGATGATTGACGAGCGGTCTACTGCCGAATGACAGACTTTACGTACGTACAGGTAAAATGGTCCCCCGACCTGTCCTGCTGTCGAGAGAGACGTTGGGAGCTAAATCCAGCAAAAACGACCGCACAGAAAGTACTGGTGAATGCTGTGCAGCCTTCGAGGAAACAAAGGAAGAAAAGCAACAAACCAGAGAAGTCCAACGAAAGACTGATTCTGATTCTTGCTTGATTCACAAAAAAAATTTTTTTAACAAGCGGTAGCACCATGTGAGGTAAATTTAATTAACAACTGCCTCTTACAGTTGGTCATTTACAGGATCGTTTAGGCATTCGAGTTGTAGCCTCTGCATGGCTTGTCCCCATGTGCTGGTGCAAAATCGGTTGCGAAATTTAAGTAAATCACTAAGCAAGGAAAGTATACTAGAACTGATAAAAAAATTAATCTTACTGTGGACTGCCGAGGTTCAGTAAAAAAAGATGGATGGCACCGGGCGGGCCAGGGCGACGCTGAAAAGAGACCCTTTGTACGGACACCTGTCCTTCACGGGTTAACAGGCTAACACCTGTCTCGAATTAAAAACAACTGTCCATGACGAACGGCTCTGACAGACGATGGAACGGATCCAGTCCATGCAGCAGAGCAAGCGAGGTTGCACGGAGGGATGGAAAGGCTTTCGTAGCTTCGCTTGTTATCATGAGCGGAACATGCCGCACTGGTAGACACAGGTAGATTTTCACCTGGCACCGAATGACCACGAACTGCAGAGGAATGCGGATGCGAACAGGTGACGAGTGACCGTAAAAGTTGTTCCAGGCTTCGTGAGTTAGTGTGCGCGAGAAGCAGAAGCGGAAGCGCGAAGACCAGACCAGGGAATCGAGGTCTGAGGGTCCCGCCGCCACCTGACACCGACCCTTGTTAGAGCATCCGGAGTGCATCCGGGCGATGGCGGCAAAAAACGGCAAAAGCCAACAACAGCTGGTTCCTCGTCGAGAAACAGATACGAAGATGCAAGCAGTAGTGCGACCATACGGGAGGTAAGAAGTAACACGGCCATTAGAATGACGAATTCATCACCTGGTGCTGAGGAGAGCGAAAAACAGAAGACACTAGGTACGACGGTCAATCGTGGGAAAGGAGGACAGCACAGCTTTTGCGACGATGTACCTCGACTCGACGACTGCAAATGGTTGGTCATTCGATCGGTCGAGTCAAACGAAAATAGGTGATCACCAATGAATGATTGCCTACATCACGAGCACGACGAGAATCGGAATCAGGAGTTACGGGCAAAGTCACGGGGAACAATCGCTTACATGTGACGAACGACGACGAACTTAACGGCAAGAGACGGACGGACGGACGGACGGACGAACGAACGGCCGAGCGAACTAACGAACGAACGTACGAACGAACGTACGAACGAACGAACGGTGAAACGGAGGAGAGAGGAGGAAAGTTTCGCAGGAATGTCAATGCGATTAAGTACTGTGTGTATGTGTGTGAAAGACAGCGCCGTTGATCGATCAATAAGCTGTAGGTAGGTAGTAGTAGAACGAACGACGATGATGATGAGGTTGGAGGTTCGTTTCGGTCGGTCGGTCGGTCTGTCGGTCAGTCTGTTCGGTTCGGTTCGGTTCGGTGAAGTGGCAGTAGCGTTCGCCGCCAACGGCGACGACAAAGACGTCAGAGTGCCTGCCCTGCCCTCCGTCCCTCCCTCCATCCCTCGTTCATATGAGCGTTCGGTGCCGGTAGCGGTCGATCGACGACCGACGCTCCATCTGGCGGCCTTGTGCCATGCCACATG